GTATACAGGATGGTTGTAATGAACATGTGCAGGAGACCCGAGCTGCAACCAATTTACATATATATATACTGATATGTATATAGGGTATAATACCTCTTTAACAAACTACAACACATTGTTACAACAGTGCCACGCCATCTGTGTCTCCTGTGTATACAGGATGGTTGTAATGAACGGGTGCAGGAGACCCGAGCTGCAACCAATTTACATATATATATACTGATATGTATATAGGGTATAATACCTCTTTAACAAACTACAACATATTGTTACAACAGTGCCATGCCATCTGTGTCTCCTGTGTATACAGGATGGTTGTAATGAACATGTGCAGGAGAGCTGAGTTGCAATCAATTTACATATATATATACTGATATGTATATAGGGTATAATACCTCTTTAACAAACTACAACATATTGTTACAACAGTGCCACGCCATCTGTGTCTCCTGTGTATACAGGATGGTTGTAATGAACATGTGCAGGAGAGCCGAGCTGCAATCAATTTACATATATATACTGATACATTTAAACCTGTCTATAGCGCCCCTTCTAAATAGCGCCTCCCTCTCAATAAGCGCCTGATTTTAAATACGTAGTACGATGCGATTTACGTTAAAAGTGATCTGTCTATAGCACCCTATTTTGGTTAGTTCTAAGAGGGGGCACTATAGACAGGTTTAACTGTATATATACCATAAATTTTACTTCAACATATTGTAACAATGGCGCCACACCATCTATCTCCTTTGTTTAGAGGATGGGAATAATGAACATGCGCAGGATCCATATGAATATCTATTCATGCCAGCTATTAACATTATTTATTATTATAGGTAAACAAAGAACAATATAAACAATGAGCAGCAGTTTGAACTAAAGGAATACGAAGCAGATTGTGGCGCCACCTGTCACATGCACTCTTATTGGTTAGTCTTCCCATACATGTACGTAACCTCCAACAATCTCTGCCACCTTTCCAGATTTTTTGTTTGAGTATTTCCATAACAATATATTCCATTGTAATCTATACTTCATATTGTCAATCGGCTCAGAGGCTCCAACTACGAGAGGCCCCATGGGACGCCTGTCAATCATCCCTGGACTCCGGGGGTGGCGGCCACGGGTGTGAGGGGATTCTCAGAATCTGGTCGGCGGGGGGTGGATGACATCGCTCATTAGGATTATCTTTAACTTGGGGTAAGTTGTACACTCTCTCTCTCCCTATAAATACCCCTTATAATAAATTAATTATTCCCAAACTTGCCCTTGCTTTATTTATCTCCGCGACAATATCATTTGGCAACTCCAAACAAACAGAAAGGTGATGAGCTGAAAAAGTACCTGAAAGAAGGAAGCTGTTTGTTGACCAGGTCCTGAGCGAGAGTGAATCCTTGAAGTACTGTGATGAAGTCATTGATCTTCCGCTTGCTGTACTTGTCCATCTCGTAGAAGATGGCTCTGCTGTCAGGATGGTCGTCTGCTGTGGCTGAGCAACCCTGGCTGTGGATTCTGCAGACCAACAACATGGTAGTGAAAGTCTACACACGTGTTTACTAGGTTTAGTAACCTTGGTTTGATGTTTCTGTAAAGACATGTAATACCTCTTTTTATATATATATATATATATGTTGTGTTGTTGTTTCTTATCCCCTTGTGTAAAGATTACACGAGTTCATGCTCCTTGAGCTGTTTTAGGATGAGCAGCGGCCTCTCTCAAAGGCCCTGTTTAGTGCATCTAATGCAAGCCAAAATATGTTCTGGAGCTGCAGGTACCAAACTACATTTTGGGCAAGTGGGATAAATTTTGTTATTATTTTCTATCTTCAATGGCTTGAGATGGCCTGTTCTAAATCTTGTTAGTGTTGTTTGATGCTGTCTGAGGTTCAGAGCTCCTCCTGTATAGTGTTGTATAGTTATAATGTAATTGCCAAGGTGTAAGAAATAAAATTTTGAATAGTGTAGCCGGCGCAAGTGGAGGAAAAATGTCTGAAAAACAAGTCGGGTTCCCAGGTGTGCCCCTTTCTTGCTCAAACAGATTAGTCCGCTTTGAGACATGATGATCGACAGACCCCTCTAGACAGACCTCCCCTGACCGGTGTCGGCTTCACTTGCTCTCTTGCCATCTCTATGGTGACATCCAGCATGTCTCGTCCTTTTGTGTAATTCCAATCACGCCTGAACCCACTCTAAACATTGTGACCACCACGACTGCAACCAACATGTCACACTACATTCATCCTACAGGATAACAATCTACATTACTACATATATATAATTAAATAAGACTAATTGGTTGTGTATACTATGTGTTGGTTGTTAACTTCCATAGTTCCAAATACAGTAGACCAACATTTCTGTAAAGGACAATACCTAGTTGCAGGGACAAAGTGTCCTTTAGGGAGAGGTGTCGGAGGTGTCCTTATCGGAGAGCAGTGAAATAGTAAAATGGTAATTTTGACAATGAAAGCTGTCCTTTATAGAGAGGCGTCCTCTAGCGGTATTGTACTCTCATGGAGGTTCTACTGTACCACTCTATCTACTTTATTTTAGCACAGATGGTACAGTGGAGTGAACCCAGGAGGAGCTCTGGACATCAGAAATAGACAGCACCAAACGACACAAGATTTAGAACAGGCCATCTCAAGCCATTGAAAAGATAGAAAACAATAACAAAATCTACCCAACTTGTCCAAAATGTAGCTTGGCACCTGCAGCTCCAGAACACATTTTGGCTTGTATTAGATGAACTAAACAGGACCTATGGCTGCTGCTTATCATAAAACAGCTCGAGGAGCATGAACTCATGAAATCCGTGTAATCTTTACACAAGGGGATAAGAAACAATAACAACTTTAATTTAGTCAACTACAATGCTATAATTCAACAGCAATCACAAATAAAACACCAAATCTAAATCAAATAATTTATTACTACATATTACCTTGTGTGTTTTTCTTATCTATAATCTAAATTGTACCTAATGTTTTCAAACCGGAATTGTGGAATATCACTTTGGATGTTGAACTAAAGAG